CACAGACGGCGAAATATTACAGCACAACGTTCACAGACGGCGAAATATTAGCAAGGCAAAGATATAGCACCCCCTATTTTCAAGCAAATAAATAAAAAATAAATTTTTTTGTTGTCTTTTTAAGCCTTTTTTTACCGCTTTTCAAACCGAGTTAGTTTAAACCCGTCCCGTTATCATCGATCTCTTCCTGTGAATTTCGGCCTAGTTGGATAAAAAATCGGGCGGGAGGGGAGGTCACTACCTCACACGTCCACCAGGCTGAAGGGACTGGCCCCCTGACTCGCGTGGTTCCCGCCACCGCCACCGAGTACGTCATGGTGTATGAAACATTGTGTGTGTGTTTATGGGTGGGCGGTAGGGGGAGGGGGAGGGGAGGCACGTACCACACACGTCGGCTCAGCCGGCTGAAAGGACTGACGTCCGTGTTTGCCCGCCCACCGCCCACCGGAGCACCTCATGTGTATGAACATGTGATGGGCGGGGTGGGGAGGGGGAGAGGAGGGAGGGTGAGGGGAGGGGCTCCCCACATACCTAGCACGTCGCAGCCTTCGTGTTGAAGCGATCTGACCGCTGTTGCCCGCCCGACCGCCACCGAGTTACGTCATGTCTGTATGAACAGTGGATGCGGGGGGTATGAGGGGGCAGGCGGCATACCTACACACGTCGCGCAGCGCGGTGGAGGGACTGGGACTCGCGTGCGTGCCCCCCCACGCCCACGAGCACGTCATGCTGCGGTGGGGTGGTGTCGGTTATAACAGTCGGATTGCGCGGAGATGGGGGAAGGCGGGGGAGGGTCAACACCTAACACACGCCGGCACCCGGTGAGGACTGACTCATTTGTTCCGCCACGGCCACGGGAGCCCACTCATGTGTATTATACAGGGTGGATGGCGGGTTTTTTTGTGGGAGGGGGGAGGGGGAAAAAGGAGGGGCCGTCGGAGGGGGTCACTACCTCACACGTCGCCACCGTAAGCGACTGACCGAATGAGTTCGCCGGCCACCCACCGACACGTCATTTTTGGTGAACAGGTCGGGAGCCGGGGAGAGGGGCGGGGAGCGAAGCAGGGTGAGGGCGGACCGGGTCAGCTACCACGCACGTCCGGCAGCGCTGTGTGTGTGTAGTGTAGTCTTTGACTCGCGTCGTTGCCCCCACCGCACGAAGCACGTCAGTTTTGTATGAAGGAGCGCGGTTGTTTGATGTCGTGTCGTTGATGTCGAGCCTATGCTTCACGGCCTCCCCATCTCGCGATCAGCCAACCCCCATTTCTCCTGATGCCAGCCGAGCTGGAGAGTGAGGTGCAGCGTGATCGGTTGCGCGGTTGGTTCCGGTAGAGGGAGGGCGGCCCCCCCACCTCTGTTGTTGCAACGCATCTTAGCATGCACGTACTTGGCGGAGCGCGGTTGTGCGCTCGTGTGTCTCGGCCAAGCCGAAACACACACGTCGACACGGGATCCACATGCCACTTAAGAGACCGAAGAGAAGGAGAGAAGGGGCGGAGAGAGAGAGGAGAGAGAGAGAGAGAGAGAAGAGTGTATGTTGCACGAGAGAGAGAGAGGAGAGAGGGAGACGAAGAACAATGAGAGAGAAGAAAGAGAGAGAACAGACAGAGAGAGAGAGAGCGAGAGACAGAGGGAGAGAACACACAGAAGGAGAGAGAGAGAAGAGACAGAGAAAGAAAGAGACGAGAGAGCACGGGGGAGGAGAGAGAGAGAGAGAGAGAGAGGATGAGGGAAGAGAGAGAGGAGAAGAGAGAGGAAGAGAAGAGGGAGAAGCGAGAAAAGACTCAACGAAAAGAAAGTAACCATTCTAAGAGAAAAACAGAGGGAAGAGAAAGACCCACGAGCGAGAGAAAACCAGAGTAGAGAGAGAAACAGGAGTTTGTGTTGGAGAAGACAAAGAAGAGAGAAAGAACAGGCCAAGAGAATAGATCAGTAGTCATGAGGAGAGAGACGGTGTAGAGAAAACAGAGGATAGAGAGAGAGAGATGATGAGAGAGAAAACCCGAGGAGATAGAACAGCAAAGAGAAAACAGAGGAGAACCGAGAGACACGATAGAAAGACCAAGGAGAGAGAAGAACAGAGAGGGGGAGACCGAGAAAGCGGTGCTTGGGTGTTTCAAATGGTTAAGACACGCACCGATAGAGAGACAGCGAGAGGCAAGACAGATCTGCGATATCGTCACAGGGGGGAACACGGTACATCTGCGACACGTCACCAGTAGGGGAACGTGTTAAATCTGTGATATGTCACGGCCTGTGAACATGTTACATATATCTGTGATTATGTCACGCCGGCTTAACATTGACATTAGCAATCTGTTAGTATGTCGACGCCGGGCCGGGTGAACCATGCTTTACCAATAGAATCTGTGATATGTCACGGCCGGTTAACATGTTACATTAGTCTTGTAGATATGTCACGGGCCGTGTGAACTGTGTGAGCGTGAGAGTCATGATATGTCACAGGTCGCGTTTAACATGTTACATAGATCTGTATATGTCACGGCGGTGAACATTTACAATAGATCTGTGATATGTTCGGACGGCCGGGTAGGACATGTTTTTACGGTGGAGATGTCGTGTGATATGTCACGGCGCTGGCGACATGTTACATAGTATCTTTGTTTGCATATGTCGGGGACGGCCGGCAAACATTTACGTAGATCTGTGATACTCACGGCCGGTGAGACGAGTTGTGACATAGATCTGTGCATACGTCACGGCCCAGCTAACATTTACATAGATCTGTGATAACGCACGGCCGTTGGACATTTACAATAGATCTGGATGGGTGTCGGACGCTCTTAGTGAACACTTTACGTAGATCTGTCATACGTCACGGCGGTGACATTTTACATAGATCTGTGACATGTCACGCGCCCCGTGAACATGGAACACGTCTCACACTTTCTTCGTGGCTTGTTAGTTATGTATGTTTCTGTGCGTCGATGATTTGGTGTTGCCGTGGCCGTTGCCGTGGGAGCAGCGTGCTCTTCTTATTGCTGTCGAATTTACATCGCTCAATCTTGTGTCACAAGATCGATTTATACACAAAATAACATCAGTTTTTGAAATTAACACGTATTTTTCATAGTATAGTTATAAATATGTTTTAATACTAACAGCAATTTTTGAATAGTATATTTTTAGTAATAGCAGTCTTTTTGATCTGAAACGAAATACACTTTCCAAGACCGAGATTTACCGTCAATCTACAATGCCTTGCAATTCTTTACATTAGAATGCGCACCTAAAATATATCGATGATGCAAAATCTAATTGAATTTCATCAGTTGAATTGAAAAAACAACTTAGCGTTAAAAGCTCTGAATTCATTGAGAATCCACGTAATTTTTTTCTACCATTCAAGAAGTAAATACGCTTTCTTAAGACCGTTTGATACAGTTTAAGACACAGAACAAGTGTACATTCCCCTCGAAATCGATGTGTTACAAGCATGTACATTTATGGTGTTTGAACGTTTAAATAAAAAATACACGTTTCACCAAGGAAGCAGAGATCCTTGTGTGTCATGATGGGATGATTACAAGGGGAGGAAAGGTCACCCTTGAAATTGCTGACTGGGTGACCGCACGATCGTGGCTTACCGACGGAGTTTCTGGAAGTTTGGCGGACATTAGAGAGGCAACTTTCGTTCGAAGCACGGGTTTGAACGCTCTCCTCCACACGTCCCATGAACCTGTTCCTGTAATGACAACACATTTAGATGAAATCACCAGTGATCGATGGGTGTTCCACACGTTCCATGAACCTTCCTGTTAATGAGTCGAATGCAAGAGCGCTGACAGGGGGTATGAAACATCACCATGCGATCGATGGCCAGTTCCCACACGTCATGAACCTGTCCTGTAATGATCAAAAAAAAAAAAAACAACCACGACTAGAATGAACATCACCAGCGATCGCATGCGTGTTCCACACGTCCATGAACCTTCCTGTAATGAACAACACGATAGCATAAACATCACAGCGATCGATGGCGTGTTCCACACGTCATTGAACACTGTCCTGCAATGAACACACGATAGAATGAACATGACCACCGATCGTATGTCGTCGCACACGCCATGAACCTTCCTTAATGAACAACACATAGGTCATAACATCACCACCGAAAATCGATGGCGTGGTTGTGCTACTCGATCTTGTCGCTGATATCCTCCTGTACATGATCACACGATAGATGAACATCACCAGCGATCGATGGCGTGGTTCCACACGTCCATGAACCTGTCCTGTAATGAACAACACGATAGATGAACATCACCAGCGATCGATGGCGTGGTTCCACACGTCCATGAACCTTCCGGTTGTGTAATGAACAACACGATAGATGAACATCACCAGCGATCGATGGCGTGGTTCCACACGTCCATGAACCTGTCCTGTAATGAACAACACGATAGATGAACATCACCTTATTTGGATCGATGGCGTGGTTCACAACGTCCAATGAACCTAGTTCCTGTAATAAACAACAAACACGATAGATGAACTCACAGCATCGATGGCGTGCGTTCCCCACGTCCATAGAACCTGTCCTGTAAGTAACAACACGATAGATTGACATGACCATGCGATCGATCGATGGCTCCACCCACTCCATTGAACCTGTCTGTAATGAACAACACTGATAATGAACATTCACCAGCGATCGATGGCTGGTTCTCTAGCGTTTGTCTCGATGATGATTTCCTGTCCTGTATGATCACACGCATAGAGAACATCACCAGCGATCGGATGCTGTTTCCACACGTTCCATGTAACCTGTCCTGTAATGAACAACACATAGAGAACACTGACACGATCCCGTGAATGCGTGGCTCCACACGTCCATGAAAACCTGTCCTGTATGAACAACACGCATAGTTGTGTGTGTGTGTTTTATGAACATCACCCAGCGCATCGATGGCGTGTTCACACGTCCATGAACCTTCCTGCCTACATAAACTCAACACGATAGATGAACATCACCAGCGATCGATGCGTGCTCCCACACGCTCCATTAACCCTGTTCCTCTAATGAAACAACACGATAAGATGAACATCCAACCAGCGATTGATGCCCATGCGTTCCACACGTCATTGCAAACCTGTCCTGTAATGAACAACACAATAGTATTAAACATCACCAGCTATCGATGGCTTGGTTCCACACGTCCATGAACCTGTCCTTAATGCAACAACACGCATAGTCTGAACATCACCAGCATCGATGCGTTTCCACACGTCCATGAACCCTTCCTGTAATGAACAACACAATAGATGGAACATCACAGCGATCGATGGCTGTTCCCACTCATGAACCTGTCCGTGTAATGACACACACGATAGCATGAAACATCACAGCAATCCGGGCATAGCGTTCACACTCCATGAACCTAGTCTGTAATGAACAACACATAGTATAACATCACGCAGCGTGTCGGGATGACCCTTCCTCCCGTTTTCTTTGGGGGCGGGAGTGCTGCCTGCCGTGTTCATGTATGCGTCAGAACCTGTTCCTGTAATAGAAACAACACGATACATGAACAATCACCAGCGATCTGGCATGCATGTTCACATTCCATAACCTGTCTGCTAAATGAACAACAACACGATAGATGAACCATCACACGATCGATTGCGTGTTCCACACTCATGAACCTGTCCTGTAATGAAACACACACGATAGATGAAACTCACCAGCAATCCCGATGGCATGGCTTCACACTCCATAGCCTGTCCTGTAATGAACAGTTACAACACCTATAGTATGAACATGACCAGCGATCGATGTGGCCGTGGGTCCACACGTCCATGAACCCGTGTTCCTGTAATGATCAACAACACGGACAGATAACATCACAGCGATCCGATGGCTTGCTGCTTCCAACACGTCCATGAACCTGTCCTGTAATGATCAACAACACGACACAGATGACCATCACCATGCGCATCGGTGGACTGGTTCCACACGTCCATAACCTGTCTTAATGAACAAACACGATAGATGAACATCACCCAGCGGCATCTGATGGCGTTGTTCCACACGTCCATGAACCTGTCCGTATATGAAACAAACACGATAGAGAACTATCACCAGCGATCGATGGATGTCCTGTGTGTGTGTCGTTCCCCACACGCTCCATGAACCCTGTCCTTATGAGTGATGTCAGACACGATAATGAACATCACCAGCCCGAGTCTGTTGATGCGTGGTTCCACACGTTCATGAACCTGTCCGTAATAAACAACAACACATATGTGTGTGTGAATTGAACATCCACCAGCGATCTGATGCGTGTTTCCACACGTCCATGAAAACCGTCCTGTAAATGAACAAACACGATCATGAACATCATTCATGCATATTCAGGTGTTCCACACGTTCCATAACCTGTCCTGTAGATGAATGCATGAGGGGACGATAGCTTCGTGTAGAGCAGTGCGAGCTATGGGCGATCGATTGCGTTTCCGTTCACCACGTCCATGAACCTGTCCTGTAATGAACAACACGATAATGAACATCACCAGCGACCGATGCCATGGTTCCCACAAGTCCATGAACCTTCCTGTAATAAAACAACACATAGCATAACATCCCACCAGCATCGATGGCGTGGCCCACACGTCCATAACCTGCCTGCTAATGGACAACACGATAGTGAACATCACCACCGGAATCAGTGCGGGTGTGTGTCCACACGTCATGAACCTGTCCTGTAATGAACAACAACACATAGATGAACATCACCAGCGATCGATGCGCGCTTGGTTCACCACGTCCATAACCTGTCCTTAATGAAACTCAGGGAGAGAGAGAGGGAGAGAGAGAGGGGAGAGAGAGAGAGATCGATACAGAGAGAGAGAGAGAGAAAGAGAAAAAGATGGAGAGGGAGAGGAAGATATAGAGAAGGAGACAGACACAGCGCACGTACCTGTATGTGTTGGTGTAAACCCTCTATCGACTCACAGCTCACGTCTGTCGGTATCATGTCAAGGTCAAAGATGAGTTGTTTCGGGGAAGGTGACCGCGGTAAGACAGATGACTTGTGTTTGTCACTCCTTAAACACAATCAACACACAAACAATAAGAATGACGAAAGACGAAGGAAGCTATCCTGGTACTTACACTAAGGTGATATGCATGATTACTTATACACAAACTACTATGCAAACTACTACGCAAACTACTGCGCAAACTACTACGCAAACTACTACGCAAACTATTACACAAAACTACGCAACTCGTTACCACGGTGCATCAAATAACTGCACAAATATGTCGCTGCAGAAAACATTTCGTGAAGATCCATTATAAAAACATGTAAAAATACGTCGATGAAATAATGCGAAACTACAGTAAAATCTATCGTAAAAAGACATTTGGTAATCCAACGTGGAAATGTGCCGTGGAAATTTTTTGAAAAAGCACGAATATCGACCGAATGCAAATGCCGATACGAAAAACCAACGACAACGATAATTTTTCACGAGCGACTCTAGTGGACGGACTCACGGCGTCGAGCGGTCAACTGCCGCGTCCATCGTCTCCCCCGGCGACGGTGGCTGGTGGCGGTGGACCTTCTTGCACGCCACCTGGCGGGCGGCATCGTCGATGCGTCGCTTTGCGTCACCGCACACGGTTGTCATGAACTTTGTGAGGTCCTCCTCCAGTACCAGCTCCACGCAGATGCCATCCACCGCAAACTGCACGTCCTGAGAGTCGATCTGAAACAAAGAGAGACCGACTCTCATGTGGCGCCATCGGGTAGCGACGACGGAAAGTTTTGCACGTGTGAAGGAGGTTATAAAGGAAGGCGTGAACAAACTGCACATACTAAGAGTCAATCTAAAAACGGGAGCAGCTGAGCTGAACAAAGACAAGTGCCGCGGAGCGACAGCGCTCATCTAACGTCTACTGCGGTGACTCTGTGGTGGAGTGGTGGGATTCTAGTAAACCCTGTTAGTCCCAAATGTGTTCACGGAGAATGGGAACACCCTCACTATGAAATGCATACCGCGACTCTCTAGTGCCCCTGACGTAGTGGAGCGTCGTTTAAGAAGGCTGGGCGGACTCTCCGTCATGTATTTTTGTACTCGGACCCCCGTGCTGGCTAAGAAGTTAAGTTGGTTCGGATAACCTTTTTTGACCCTCAAAACTAGGGATAATGGTTTAAACAAATGGTTTGTTTTACTTGTCTGGTTTTAGAAAGAAATTTGACTGGCCGGGTTTGCAGTAGAAAATCTATACACTGCCTGGAATGTAATGAGGCTTAGCAAGTCACCGTGAAATTCTTCAAAAGCTAAATTTTGGTTTTGAAGAAGGTTTTATCTCCTAAAATCGTAATAATTCTATGGCATTCTTGTACTGTCCAGTGTGTTACAATGTAACGTTGATGGCCACTGGCCAGTGGGCATGTGGTGTGAATCATTTACTGTGTAGTTTTTTTGCCTGCCGATTAATTTGGGTTAGGCAGGTGGCTAGCTCTCTATTGCAGCCTGTAAGGCCTTGCGTAGGTAAAATGGATGAAGTGCTTACCTATTGCCTGTCTTTGCATAATATTTGTTGCTACTACGGTATCGATGGAGGGCTTCCGATCTTTAAGTCTGAAGAACAACTAAAACGTAGCGCAGCCAATCTCGTGCAAACTTTCATACGATCCGCGTAACGAATCATTGCCTTTGGAGAATGGTTTCTGATCGCCATCCGCCTGGTTGGCATTTCCCACTGTTTTCCGCGGTGTATTGTGTT